TTTTTTAAAATAAATAGGAAAATAAAAAATAAATAATTTTTTAAAGAAGAAAAAAAGACAGCTCTACAGCTGTCATTTCAGGGTAGAACGGGCTGGCCCTTCTCCCCCGCTTCGGCTGTTACTTTGGCTCGGCTGAGCCGCTCGGCCACCTTCGGCTGAACCAAATGGCTGAGGCGGCCGAAAAGAGCCGAAGGATCAGCCGAAGCTTCGGCTGGATCCTTCGGCTCTTTAGTGAATAACCCCGTTAGATTTTAAGTTGAAATCAAGTGAATTTTGCAAACAGGGCTTCATTCCAGATGAAAATATCAGTGCAAATACCAATATTTAATGGAATCGTTTGTTGGGCTCCCCATGTTGCCTTCCACTGTTTTTTAACTTCTCAGCAGCACAGGATTGTCCCTACTGTGATTGTCCAACACAGCATATGAAGCTGTAAGCTATAGTGGCAAAATTATCTGATTCAAGACTAGTTTAATGTTTGTCTTGCGTGCAACACAACAACCCTAAACTTCGATCATGAAAGGTTTTCTCAAAAACTGACCAGCCTCCAAACACTTTTCTTTTTTTCTGAAATATAAAGTAAAGTGTACAAATCTATAGGTATGCATTTTAAATTTCACATGGAAATAAAAAATGCAGCACTTGCTGCAATGCTCATATAGTCCCAAGTGATATTTCCTGCAGAAACCCTGCTCTGTGCAATAGCGACCATTCCAGATTGAATGATGCCCAGTGACATTCAACCACTTCCTCTGAACCCAGGCTGTCAATGATACAACCCTAGTTTTAGTGGAATCGAGCAGCCTGCTGCAAAGAAAAGCACCCACAATAATATAACTTGTGAGTGCTGTTCTATGTAGCATTACATTGTGAGCCCAGGCTGCTGCATATTCTATGCAGCACTAAGGACCATCCATTATCTGATGCTGGAGAAGAGGCAGAGTACTAAGCTTATGAAGTGACTGTCTGGAATGCTTCTGAAATTAGGGTATATATGCTTATATATATGCTTATATATGCAGGGGAGGTGCAGTTAGGAATGTGAGATGATTTGGTGGTGGAGGTGTAGGCTGATGTTGAGCTTTTTTAGTTTTGACCTTACTGCTCAGTCCAAGAATGACAGTCCAGGTAAAAAAATGCATTTACTATGGCGCTGCCACACCCTGTAAAAAAATATTTTGAAAATTATTATTTTTTTTTTAAATCTGGTATTTCTTTATTTCTTTTCTCTCTACCAGATCCAAGTTAAGAAGGTCATATATCATTTCTATGTATCCATTACATTAAATAATGTTTGTTTTTTGAGAATTCATTTTTCTCATACCCAGCTTTGCTACTTGGTTCAAAATACCTATATTACTGTTAATCAACAACAAAAAAGTCCCTAGCGCTCCTATAAAAAAAAAACACTTTCTTCTATATTGTATTCACCTGGTGACCTTTTGTACTGTTCAGGTCACAAAGAGGTGACACAGAACTTTCTTTCTCTGCTTTGCCAGAAGAAAAGATTAGCCCATAAAAGGCCATAGGGGTAAAATTCACAAATAGGTAAATTTACAAAAGATTGTATGCTCTAAAACTGGCCATGAGGAAAATGGCCAGATCACCAATGCAGCAATTTTTTTAAAGTTTGTTCATCTCTGGTATTCATTTTGTTATAGACTGTGAGCCCTCACGAGCAGGGCCCTTCTTACCATCTTGTCTTGAATTGTATTGTAATTGTAATGTCTTACTTAGATTGTAAAGCGATGCGCAAACTGTTGGCGCTATATAAATCCTGTATAATAATAATAATAGATTAAAATTTAAAAAATGAAGGTTTTAATTACTTTTATGTCCTTGAGACAAGATGATATGTCACTATCACCCTCAGTATGCCAGTCAGTGAAACTATAGTACCAAAGTGATTATAACTTGGTTATGTGATTTAAGGCACCAGTTACAAGAGTTCATGAGGAATGGCTGGTGTTCTATATCACCATGAGATTTGTAAGGCTCTTATTTATTTGTTCTATTAAAAAGCCACAGCACTAGCACTTGTAACCATTATGCATCCATGCAAGGTTATAATTGAGTAATTACAAATTCTATTTTTTCAGGAAAATAGGCAACATGAAAAACTACTTTTCAATTTAGAAAACAGAACTGTCTAATAAAAAGTATGCCATATATTCCATGTATGTGATTAATATGTCACTGAGACATTATTTATTAATTTAGTGAAGACACAGAATTTATATCGGCTGTATTTTAAGTACAGTCTTATTTAGGAAGATATAGTGCTGCAATGTATTGCATGCCTTGTCAAGTCCAGACAGGATCTTACCTTCCCTTTCCTTTCACTAGAAAGACAAATGCTGTCTATAAATTGAAAAGTTGGCTGCGGCTAGTAAGAAGCAGGTAGATCATCAACTAACTAGAAAAATGTATAACATAGAGCGTAATGTACAAATGTGCCATTTAGACATATTAAATAGGTTGGGTCAACCTTTGTTCATAATATGACAATTCATTTGCAATTTCAAATGTTTGCTTAAGTTCTATACACATTATATTTAGTCCTTTATCTTTTGAATCAAAAGTATTAACTACCCCCCAATCCAAAGCCACAGTGATATAAAATAGAGAAAGCTTATTTTGCATACTTAATGAAAAAACTCAAATCCACTTTGGAAGCGTCATGTTGCCTTATTAAAGATGGCTGAAAAACTGGTAAGACATGCTGTTTTGGGGTAAAACGTCCTTCAGCTTTCATTAGCTAATCATTTATAAGCTTCTAAATTTCACAGTCACAGCAAAAAGATGGAAAAAATAAATGCATCTTTTGATTCAGCCTGAGCAGTCAACTGGTGCCACCGTCTCACATTTTACCCTTGACTGAAAACTGGAGTAGTGGAAAAAGACATGTTCCTGAAAAAGGAGTCTTTATTGGATTATAGGTAATTATTGTACTAGTCCCATAACTTCTTTTAGGCAGTAGGTTGGTACTGTTTTGACTTTAGATCTCTTTTAACTTCCGTGACTCTCAGTACAATGCCCATGTAATTCTATACGGCCATCTCCTGAAACAGTGGACACTTAGGAGATGGTCCCAAAGAAGCGTATAGTGATTGACTGTTCAGGTCAATGGAAAAAAGATTTTGGCAGGGGGATCTGAAGGTTGCTGCAGGGATGAGAGGTTCCCTTAACTGGGTGAGGAATGGATGTAGGGCCAAAGGATAACTGTACTTTTGGTGAAACTCCTGGCAGTGTTCCGAAATAATTGTAAGGAAGGCAGCAGTGAAGCAGAGTCCTTACAGAGGCTAAGGACAGGAGAAAATCCATGATACAAACATGATTCATAACCTGGATGTTAAGAATTGTAGATTTAGTAATGAGGAGCCACATAACACACACTGCATTGGCCAGAAAAAAATTGCCATCTGGTGACATTTTCCCATATATCTTCTATACAGTACCAAATGTTTTTCTTCAGCCAGAGTACTGATCCCCATTAAAGTGAACCATTACCCATACCTTTACAAACAACAACAAACACATGGTTAGAAATGTTTAGTAATGACAATCTACAAACACATTTCTTGATAATTGCCGGCTTTGTACTCTTTGCATACCTTATTTCTCTTTTCTTTTCAAGTCTTCTGACTGTGGCCATGTTAACTAAGGGCAGATTACCAGCTCTCCTTTCACTTTCTGAATGTCTTGCATATGTGACTAGACATGTGACTAGGACATGTGACCCTGCTCATCATCTCAGGGAAGGAAATGCCTTTCCCTGAGATCTCGTGATGAGATGAGATTATTTTCCCAGCAGTGCTCTGTTGGGGACAGGCAATCCCAGTGTGCATTGCATTGGCAAATTGAAGTTATTCGCACCTTTCAAAGCAGGAAGTGAATGCTCTGTAAGTGTAGGTATTTCCCAATCATTTCAAGCATTTTACACCTGACATGTCTATGTAATCATCATACATAGAGGGATGCATTGGTAGAATTTGATTTTTGAGTGTAAAGGTCCGCTTTAGGGCCAACCAGTGCAGTTTCATCTTTACAGGTAGGTGGTACTATGCTGCCTTTTCCTGTATATGTGGACTAAATGTAAAAAAAAAAAAGTATAAACTAAAGTTTGTAGCGTTCCATGCTCTTCCAAAATAGCATTTTCTGGGCAACCAGCACAGAGATAATTCACAGGAAAGTGTCTTTGAAAACAAGACTCTGCTACGTGAGCTACTTTCCCGCATTTGTCACGTGTGCGGCACCCATTGAAATTAATGGGCAACGTGTGGAAAACGTAGGACAAGAACAGACACGAACATGCGCAAATGCAATGTGCATTCCTGGTACACCTAAGTGTAAATGGGGACTTACTGGCACAAAGAGATCTTTGACCTGACAATACAGACTCTTTAACACATATTATGCGATCTGAACATATTCTATAAATGAAGCTCCATATATTTCTTTACTATCATTATTGGTAACCTGCCATATCTAAGCCAGCAAATGTATTTTAGCACCAGTCATCAAATGTATATGAATAACATAAATTGTACTAATAGAGTATATAATTGGGACCATTACTTCCAGTTCCCACAGAATATTTTTTTTTAGCCATAATTGCAGTTTTTATTTTGCTGCCAACAACCAATAAGATGAGGAATACATTCTCTACTATCTATGGAAGTAAATGCAAATCAGCTTAGCTGGTTAAAGGTCATTCGTTATTAACTCGTACCATGTGTTTTTTTACACTAGAAGAAGGAGCTGTCATTATGGTTACCGCTGACCTCACAATCTACTGACAAAAGGAAGCCGGCACCGTAATGATTTCCATTACATTATATTGCACTTGGAAGTGTGTAATAGATTTAATTCAGTGTGAAACTGCAATGAAAGCAGGTTCATCAGCTAGAGCAAACATTCTAGACAAACATTTGCGGCTACAGTAAATCACTTAACCATTGCATGTATATAACTGCTGTGTGTTTCATAACTAGCCTTACCAGCGTTAGCAGGGTCACTGAACATGTCACTTCTGTTCTTTTTCCATGCCAGCAGGTACTCCATGCTGACATAATCTGCAGCCTCTGTATGTCTGCTCACAGCCAGCATCATCCTGTGTGCCTTTGCAATGCCGAAATGAACCTGGGCCTCGTCTGTCAGCTGTATTTCTCCGAAACTGACTGCTGCCTCATAGGCTTGAGAAAAATAGTGGCAAGCTTTTTCATAGTTCCCCTGACAAGGAAGCCAAAAAAAGTTAATGATCAATTACTTAATACTTACTGATGATTTATACGGTGGCTTTGAACCACAGAAGTTCTTCCTACAATTTGCACTTTTTGATATCTTAACAAAACTTCCATATTGATTTGATGATTAATTTGCAAAAATTATGTATTCAGGAGTAAATTTTCTGTATGTTGTTACTTAATAAGGTGGATACATTGATCTTAGAATGAGATATATTTTTCATGTTGAATGCATTTTGTAATGCGTAAATGCAACACTTACTTGTATTTATTACCACTTACAGAGATCACAGTAGGGTCAGCATCTACCTTCTGGACTGAGATGCTCATTGATGAAAAAGTATAATGTAAATCCTAGTACCAGTACAGTTCTTGACTGTGTTCACAAATGTCTGATTATTCAGATCATTTCCCTGCTGCATTATCTCACCTTTTACTACAAAGCTACATTGTTACAGTCTGATCGGTGGGAGAGAGGAGACTGAGGAACTGCTTACTCCTGCCTGCAGCAGCTTAATGGTATTTTCTAAGCTCCCTATGCTGTCAGTAAGTATTGATGTAGGTCTGTTCCAGGCAGACCATTGTTTACTATGGGTTGGCCTAAAACAGACCCCTCCTCCTTTTTCTTCAGCTAAGAGTATGTATACACCTATACCCGTTTGTCCTGGCCACATAGAGCTAAAAGGATATAAACAATGTACCAAAGCACAGGGCAAAGCACTCTAGCTTTAAAAGAAAGGTAACCATTTTTGCCTATTGCATGGCTGTCATTTTTTTTCAGACATCAGTTATTCTGTAAGAAGCATGTTCTTAGTTACTTATAGCTTCTCCAATTCTCAGCTGAACCTCTTAATTAAAAAGTAACAACCCCATACTTTAGGGGACACTTATCCTAAAAGACACTTTAGGATAGAGAAGACATGCATTACGCGCTCCAAAAATGGGTGTGGCTAAATTGCGATGAATATTGGGTGTGGTTAAAGGAGCGGGGTTAAACAGAGTATATGCCTACATACTGTATATACTGTACACAGTCTGCTGTCCTTATACCCACAAAATACTCCGTAATTACTGTGCTATAATTGAGCATCTCACAGACCTAAAGGATCACAGAGAGAGCTAACACTTAGCTTAGCAGCCAGCAACAGATGAGACAATTAACACTTTAGTGAAAGTGTAACTTGCAACATAGCGCAGGGGTTAGGACAGTGTAACGTACAACATGGCTATACAGCGAATGCAGTGCAGGGACCTGTACTATATAATGTACAACACAGTGTATATAGTACAGGGGTGAGTACTGTGTAACATGCAACATAGCGTATACAGTTTAGAGGTCAAAACTATCAAACGCACTGTACAACATAGTGTATACAGTGCAGGGGTCAGAACTATGTAATGTACTGTACAACATAGCAGATACAGCTCAGGATCAGAATAGACTTGGACTTTGCTCTTCCCCCAAGGAGGTACTGTCCCGCCCCCTACCATAAACACGCAAAAAGCGATGGGGTGCTGGGAAACAACATATCTGGTCAAAAGGGTATAAGTAGGAACTGGAAGGTAGTCAGGCAGGGTGGTAGAGGAGGAAATTGTGTTTGTGTGTACAAACTGACTGTCAAATACCAGTGCAAGGTGCTGGAATGAGCCATCCAGCACCCAGCATTGGCACCAGGACATCTTCTGGATACGTGGGACCCTGGGAATTGTTTTCACATTTCAGGACAGTTGAGGGGTATGAACAACCCCGGTTATTGCAAGCCACAGGTTATAAGCCACCACTTGTTGTAACTGAGGCTACCTCTCAATACTAACATTTTTCCTCTATTTTGATGGACTAGCAGCTCAAGCAGAGTCAGTTTGAATCTGTGTTGGGCAATCTCTCACACATCTGAAATAAACAATTATTGCAAGTAATAAGTTACTTTTATTGCAGTACAACATGTCATAGTGTGCAGCAGACAAGTTTTGCTTTTGTGCTGCTGATAACAATAACACTGGTCTCCATCCTTTATCTCCTAGCAGATCTGACTAGCTAACGACACATACATTACAAAGCAGTAGCTTTCTGCGTTTGTATTATTGGAAATCACATAGTACAGTATAGGCTGTAACTCCCCTTGAAAGCTCTGGTAACATAACAAGTGATAAGGACACCAAGGGAACTAAAGCTGTCAGTAGTTATATGCATGAAATAGGAAGCACAAAGGAAGTTCAATGACAAGACTGGGCCTTTGTGCTTTTTTTTTCTTCTTTTTTTTTGCTGTCCAGTGAGGTTATAGTAAAAAACTTAATATAACTGAATGTTGGTGACAGTCACAGCATCCTTACAAAAATCATGTAATGGTTTGAACTCTGCAACATGCCTTATTACATAAATGAGTGTGTTAAACAGGATAAAGCAAACAGCAGAGGTAAACCATTATTATCATTTAAATCATATTTCAATGGATGCTGAAGCTGTCCTTCCTTCTGGAGGGTGGCTACTTTTGTTTTCCATGGTCCCTGTGCATTGTAAAGTAGCCACCGCTCCTAGAATGGACTACAATCTCAATACAAATTAATAAACTAACCTTGAGTTTGTAGTCCATCATGGAAGCAAGCTTGGAGCGGTGGCTACTTTACAACACACACAGAGACCATGGGGAACAAAAGTAGCCACCCTCCAGAAGGAAGTACAATGTCAGCATGAATTCTGAGATGATTTGAGGATGTACAGCTGAGTGTTACACAAATAAGCTACATTTGTGTTAATAGTTAGGGTACTTGAATGTATTTTTAAGATTTAACCTTTTCTGTGCCAACGACATAAGGCATACAGCGGAACACAACAGTTTCCAGCTGGCCACATCAGTATGCCTTACGTTGCTGGCTTTCACCCAACTACTACAAGCTCATGGTTGCTTTAGCGACCATGAACTTATAGCAGAAGGTTCCCCCTGATGATCCCCTGTAAATAAATAGCTGTCATCAGTGGCTGACAAGACGCGGATGACAGCTATTTAACATAAATCCGCCCCCCCTGCTGTCACCACCTGCTGCAAGTTCTGCCGCTCTGCACCACTCTCCTCCCCCTTGGGAGCCGGCTGCATGCTCCGATCTGTGTCCCCTCCGATCCTAGCTGCTCCCCCTTGCCTGTATCGGCAGCAGGGATTGGAGGGGACACAGACTGCTAAAGCCGGGGGGGGAGGGGATTAGGGGGAAGTGTAGGAGAGAGCTCTGACAGTCAGGATGCTGAGCGGGGAGTAGGGAGCTGTTATCAGGATGGAGATCGGGGTGCTCCAGGACAAAGCTTCAGGATGCCAGGTGGAAGATCTGCAAATATGTGGAATATTTGTAAATAACTGAACAAATAGTAAGTTATGCCCCCAATTATGAATGAACAGAAAGTGTTTACATCACTTCCTGTTCATTCATGAGTGGGGACATAGCAAGCTCGCTATGTTCTCAGTTTAAAAATAAACATGAGTACTCAGTACAGAGGCTCCTTGTCGATTAATAACTGGGAAGAGTACTATGCCTCCTCAGTTTGCTTTTATCAATTTAATTGTGTATTATTGGTTTAATATTGATTTGATAAACATTTGTGCAATTATCGCAGGACCTACAAAATTAGTTGCACCATCTTTTTATTCTACCGCTCATGTGCTTTCAGGAGATGTATGGTTTGTATATATAAATAAAAGGTGAAAAATGGCAAAAATGGTCTGGCCAGCTGTGGTCAAAAGTGGAATGCAGGGCTTGCCAGTGAAAGGGTTAACTCCTGAGTTTAGTGTCACAAAAAAATGACAATCAACCTAAAATATAAAACAAAATTGAAAATGCTTTAAAAGTACAAGAGATAATGACACACACACACACACAGCCACCCACCCCAACATTTTGAAAGGATTAGCCATGTAAATTAATTTTCTGCACAACTGGTGACAGTAGAGTACTGTAGAGGTGTGTGGTTATTTTGTTCTGACCTCATTAAAAAGCACTGACGTACATGTAGCACATAGGATATTTATTTTTGCACTCTAGAGACATAAGAGAAATGCAGAATATTTCATAGTATAATGTATTATACACAGAAACATTTGATTATGCCCTTTTCCGCTGTATTTATTTTAGTTTTATGCTTTTTAAAATTTTTATTTATGCATTTTTATGCTGTTTATCTGTTAGCATGGACTGGAATATGATGAACAAATTCCAGAATGACTAATTACACTATTACAGCTCTTGGATATCTCGATGTATCTTTAATAGCAGGTGAGATGCAGGGAGTTTTAAAGGTCTGTCAAACTCAGTCTGTCTGCAGGGTGCTGCTCATATATACTGAATCTATAATAATCTAGACATTCCAGCCATGACTAACTTAATGAGATTTTCCTTTTTATCTTTTTGTATCAAAGGCTTTTTTTCCCCAATGGTCATCTTAATGGACTTGAGAACAGCAAGAATTGGTGAAATAGCTTAGCTCTTTTAAAGACCCATATCACACACCATATGTCACAAACTTTAGCTGCTTCTGCTTTCACTTGGGTTTTAAACATCACAGGTCCGCCCCCATACTGTGTCAAAAGTCAGTCTGGGATCATGATCCTGAAATCTTCCATGGCTGGAAACAGTAGCAAGCAGGATGCCATGAGCACGGGCTAATCTTGCCATAATCATAACTGGCAATTAGCACACTCTAACCAGCTGTCAAGCAGCAGACCGCAAAGAGTGACTCTTCCATTTAAACCAACAGGAAAGCAGTGTGTGCACTTTTTTCAAAGCTGTTCTTTCCTACAGGGAATTAAATGACACAAAGAAGTCACCAACATTACCACTTCTACAGCACAAATGGCAGGCAGTTGCACACACCGCTCTACCCTCAGCCAGTAGATAACTTGCAAAATACACATACAAGCTGCAGTTGTCAAAAAGCACGCAATGTCAGTTGTGCCTGCTATATATAACAGACACATTAAAAAACTAACTAGGGTAAAAAATACTCTAAAATCTCTTTTTTTGCAGTCACTGTTTGGGTTCTATCTGTGTCCCTACTGCCATAAAGATGGTCAGCTTTTCTGTGTTAAAGTCTGCATTTATATCTCTAGGTGTCTCAGTTCCTCATACAACATTCATTATCTCTAAATGATCTTCATACTTTCCTAACAACACCCAACTCAATACAAATGCATGATATGTTACATAAATACATGGTAATTATTGATCAATTATTGAACTGTGATTTATTCAAATCCCTGCCTACCAATTTGTTAAATCTGACTAAATGCTTAGGGTACAGAATTTCAGTACCACAGTGTCTTTAAAAAGCTGGAACCGACCAGGTCCCTATATGTCTTATCAAGCACTATATTTCAAATCTGTTAAAGGAGAACTATGGGGTTAGGGCTTTTCCCCATAGTTCTCTTAAGGGTAACGGGAGGACACATACTAGCGTTCTCCCGTTACCCTAAACTCAGTATACCGCGAGCTACGGCTCGCGGTATACTGAGACGCCGCAGCTGAAACGGATCCAGACAATTATGTCTGGATCCACCCAGCTGCGTGAGTGACAGCTGGCTCTGCCTATCTAGAGGCAGAGCCAGCTGTACCCGCCCCCTCTCCCGTCCGTTCCGCCAGTCAGCGCTGGAGGATTGGAGCAGGGAGGGGGGAATCCAATCCCTCCCCTGTCACGGCTCTCTGCCGTGACAGGATCGAGTAGTGAGCGAACGCCAGTATGTGTTCGCTCACTTCCCGATCTACTGAGCCGACCTGTGACAGTCTCATTGTCACAGGTCGGCTAGAACTATGAGGATGAGTGAAAAGCACTCACCTCATAGTTCTCCTTTAAGTCTTAATATGCTCACAATTAGAAATAAGGAAAGAATTTTCATATGGTTTGAAGCCTGGAAAATAAAATCTTGTTGGATTGGCAAATCTGCAGTTGAATAAAACATACAGGAAGCATGCCATAAAACAATATTTTTGTTAGATAGGATAAAGTAGAGTGGGCAAAGACTTTGTAGACATACAAAACAACAAAATAAGGTAAGCAATTACATGGGTGAAAGTGGTATCTTAAAGCCAAACTCCGGACAGATGTAAAATACACATATTAACACAGCTCTTCTTCAATGCACTGCACAGTGGAGCTCATACTGGGAGAAGGTGAATCAGCACAAGTAGTCATTCAGTTGTTTGTTTCTCATGTACTAACAGAGATGTGCTGCTTCTTCTTTTCACTGTCCATTAACAGAATGGGAGAGTGACAAGACCTGTAAGTGTAACTAAAGTGCAGCAGGGAAAAATAAAGTATCCTGCCCTGCCACACAAGGCTGTGTTAAAGGGAAGAGCTTTGTAAATCTCAGTGCTGGATGGATGGAAATACAAATCCTTTGGCAGGTAAAACAACTCTTATTAATGTGTTTAATCTGTGTTAGAGTTGGAGTTTGGCTTTAATAATCCTGTCTTTATTCCTCAAAACTTGTGTAAGCTTGTGTTACCACATATTTATTAAAGGGTTCAGTAAGAATTGGACACATCTACAAATAGGATAGAAAATACTTGTTGCAGAATAACTGGTTTAGGAAAAAAAATTGTAGCATTCCTTAATATAGATAACATCTTCAAATGGAATCCCACCTTATATGCTAAACAACATGTATACTAACAAAGCCCCAGGATAAGAAGAGAAATTCAAAATCCCCCCTCCCTGCTAGGGCTAGGAAAACGGGTAAAGGAAATAGACAGATTGGTGGTTTGCTATACTGATTCACAAGATCCGCACTGACCAAGCTTAGCTCATATTTTAAAAAAGTTCAGTAGCCCATAGGAAAAGGTTGTTATTACTATGTGAGCGCGGTGGAATGTGAGATCGCAGTCGGAGAGAAGTGACATTTCAGGACCGATCAGCTGTTCCAGGGCAGATCAGTTCTCCTGCACATGTGATTTGCAATGCCGATCTGCCCTGCAACAGCTGGGAAAGCTTCACCTATTGGCCCGCGCCCCCCCCCCCCCCCATATTGGGAGGGGGGCCCAAGATAAAATCTTGCACCAGGGCCCTTTGGTTATTAGGTCCGCCACTGGTTGTTATAGAATTTAAACCAGCAGGAGTATGTAGAAAAGATGCAGAAATGATTGTAATATATGTAGTAGACTTTTTGTTTTTTACAAAGCTAGAGTTTCACTTTAAATATCACAAAACCGTAAAGTAATTATTCACAGTGATCCACCATTGAAAGAATCAATACTTACTCTTGCATTGAAAATGTCTCCAAGGCAAATACACGTCTCTACAAAGCTTTGACATAAATTGCTACTTTTGGCGACTTCTATAAAGTTTTCCAGGTATTTGATGCTTTCCACAATTTTTCCTTGGCTGGAAAAAAAATGACTCCAATTATATTTGCATTATAATGGTCTTGCATTCTGAAAAAACAGGATTCCAAAGAATAGATTACAGATTTCAGTTATCAGCTTTCAGAACATGTTGGACTAAAGGGAGGGCATTTACATTTCTGTCACAGAGCTGGGTAACCTGTGGCAACCAGCTGCTTTATAGCTAAAATGTTTACCCTTGCCTGGCCAGCATTGCCTACCTATGCCCCAACCTATGTATATGAACCATCTACTGCTCAGTTGCACAATGTCCCTGTCACTGCTGTCTGTCGCCACTTTTGATGTCCACCTGCACAATTCCCCTGCTGCCTGTATGGCTGGACAGTGTATGGTACATATGTATAAGAAGTGCTGAGAGGCAGCAGTGATGGGGACATTGTGCTGTTGAGCAGTGGCTATGACATATCTAGCAAACATTGTGACAGACAGAAGAGACAAATATATATTGCTGCTAAGCAGTGGATAGCAGTGCTTGGCAGATGCCCTCAACGAGTTTCAGTGACACTGTATTCTGATATCACATATTTTACATGTGTAACATCTTTCTGCCTTGAGGAAGGGACCCTGCGCGGCCCCGAAACGTCGGTTTATTTGGATGTCTGTGACGTTTTCTGTCCAATAAAAGGGACATATTTATCTTTACTACTGAGTGCTGGTGATTTTCGGACTTTCCTGTGTTTGCACGGCGCCATCCGTGGTAATTCATCACTGCGAGCACCACTTTTTTTTTCTTATCTGGCCGGGACTGCTGTGGGGAGTCTCTCCATCGACTTATAACTAATTTTTCTCACTTTTACTTTTAGTGTGTGGCATAATACAGCATCAGCAGTGCCCCAGTTCAAGTCATTATAACTTTAAAAAATTGCTTTTTTAGGTAGTTATGGCTGTGATACCTAATTTTTCATCCAGCGTTAATAAGCCTGAGTTGATCTATATATCTAAATCTATAGTAGATTGTAAACAAAAACAGCTAATGCCCTCACAAAACCACGTCAAGTCCACAAAAACACTTCAAAACCACAACACTGCATTCTCAGAACCCCCCCCCAATATAGTACAGACTTGATGAACACTATGTAAGAAGCTTTAATT